TTTTTTTTTTTTTTTGCCTTTATTTTTTGTTTCTTATCTGAAAAGTCTCGAGGTGCTTATGGTAGTGGCCAGATGTAGGTATGACAGACTTGTCAGAGCCTAGACTGTGGGAGGCTTCAAAAGATGTCTTTTAGCCCTGTAATTTCTGCCTCCTCGGAACTCCTGGTATAGGGGGACCAAAGTGAGGATTTGTTTCTGCCTCCTTGTAATTCCTGGGATAGGGGAACCAGAGAGAGGATCAATTTTCTGGAACTTCTGTGGCAGAGAAGTCCAGGTTTTATGTTTTACTTGGTTTCTGTGTGTGATTGTTTTTTTCTTGGTGTTGTGCACGGAGTTCCTGTTTAATTTTTGTTATTAATTGTTTGTGTTTTTGTGTCTACTTGAGAGTGCTTGATTCTACTTCTTTTCAAAACTGTGACTATTTTTGTTTCTTTGATTTCAGTTTTATCCGGGATATTAGCCCAGGTATAGGCTATGAGTTGTTGCCTTTAGTTTCATTTTTGTCTGAGATGGCCGGTTTTTTTTTTCTTTTTGTATGTGTGTGTGTGTGTACGAGTGATTTACTATTTGTTGAAATTGTTCTCCTTACTTCTTCTGTGTTCTCTTGAATTCTCTTGATCAATAGATTGGCTGACGATATGGGACAGAATACTTCCAAACCTCTTCATTTGGTTCTGACTCATTTTGGAGAGGTTAAAGCTAGGGCTCAGGGTCTTTCAGTTGATGTGAGGAAAGGAAAAATGATGATTTTCTGCAGCTCTGAATGGCCCACCTTCAATGTGGGCTGGCCACCAGAAGGAACCTTCCACCTTCCCACCGTCTTAGCGGTGGGATATAGAGTCTTTCAGAAAGCATGTGGGCACCCAGACCAGGTGCCATATGTTGTACTTTGGAAGGACCTGTTGACTCATCCATCTCTATGGATTAAGCCTTTTCTGATCCCCACTAAATATTCTCGTTCCATAGGATCTCCAAAACCAGAGGTCACTGCTCTGGTGACTGAGACCAAGAAAAAGGATCCCAAAGGTGCCCCTTCAACTCCCTCTGCTCTCCTTTACCCTGTTTTGCAGGATGAAACTCCAGAGGAAGCCATTTTTAAACTGTCTCCATATAGACCTCCTCTCACCCCTCACTCCCTCAACATGGGACACTTTAGCCAAGTCTGGACCACCATCTGGCCCGCCACAGAGGACCCAGAGATGCCAGGCAGTCCCTCCCTCTGGAGTGACAGAGGCAGATTCCATAGACCTTCCCCTATGGGCCAAGGACCACCACATGATAATGGCAATCAACCTCTCCATTATTGGCCTTTTGCCACGTCAGATCTTTATAAGTGGAGAACTCAGAATGCCAAGTTCTCTGACAATCCCAGAGATTTGATTGATCTCTTTGAAACTTCTTTTCACCCACCAGCCCACCCGGGATGATTGCCAATAGCTTTTACAGGTTTTGTTTACCACAGAGGAGTGGGGACATATTATTTCAGAGATGTGCAAAAATGTCCCAGACACTACAAGAATTTTTACTACAGATCCTATATTGATGATTACTTTCCCCATGAGAGGCCCAATTGGGATTACACATGGTTGCAGGTAGGGAATGTCTCCTAGTCTATTATCAGGCTCTGTTGGCAGGTATCAAGGTGGCGGCAAGAGAGCCCACTAATTTGGGCAAGAGCTGCAGAAACAGGAAAGACTAGGCCAGCATTTGTGTCGAAGGCAAGTCAGAATATAGCTAAGTTTATTGGGGTAGATTGGAGACCACATTGTGCATATAGGCCCCAAAGATCAGGACAGGTAGAGAACATTAAAAGAGAGCTTAACGAAATTGACCTTGGACACTGGAACTGACTGGGTGATGCTCCTCTCCATTTCCCTTTATAGGGTTAGGAATTCCCCTTACCAGCTGGGTTTAATTCCCTTTGAAGTTATATATGGAATGCCAGCCCCTATAGTACCCAACCTTAAGACTGATACTACTGCTGAAATGGATAAAACAGGTTTTGAGAAATGTTGAAGGCTTCTGTGCAAGCAGACAGCTCTTAAAGGGGCAACAGAATTTCATCATGCTAAACACATATATACAATATGTATATTTGACCCAAAAGCCAGAGGTTTTACTATGATATCTTCAATATTTGCCATTTTTGAGGTAGACTTTGATACAGGAGTTAGAAATATTTTAAATCTATCTTTTTTTCTAGTTACTTTCTTAAGAGAAATCCAAGCATCCAGAGTTCAGCACTGAAGCCATTAATGTATTTCTGCCTAACTTCCCAATGTAACATGGAGATGGGGACTAAGAATAAATGCTAAGAAGATCTGACAAAAAGTGGCCCAGCTCTAATGGTGGCTGATTACCAACATCTGTATCCACAGTTAAAATGTTAGAGTTTCAGATCATGGATACACACATAAATTGTTGCTCATTCCATTGTAGGCAGTTTTACCTGTTATTCACAAAATGTTTTAGGAAATCAAAGAGTCATGAGACCTGAATTTGACATAGCTCAAACAGATCTCAGATGAGTTTTTCCCTGGTCTTAGAAATCCTCATTTTTCCCATTTATTAGACAAATTTTAATTTCTGTTTCTAGTTTAAATTTGTCTCAGCAGATTTTCACATGGTTGAGGCTCCAAGCTGAGATCTGAACTTCCTGGAAGCTGACATGATTGCTAACTGCCTCTTCGGATGGACCACCTAACCAGACACTGCTGAGGACTGCCCCATTACCCAGCCTTTGGCTGGCATTTCAGCCTTCCTAGCCCCTTATGGCAACGGTCCTTTTGTCACCGCTGAAATAGTTTCAGAAGACGAGACCTCGGCCCAATATCCAGCCTACAGACTCAAATGCCATGTCAAAGGAAGCTCCCTGACATTATCTATTATCTTGAAGATTGCTTTTCCACACACAATGCTTTCCTGCTACTACCTGTCTTTTCCACTGTTTTCCTGTTTTTGTACTACCTGTCTTTTCCACTGTTTCCCTGTTTTTGTGCCTTTTGGTAAAGATATTGCCAGACTCCTCTTGTTCTAAATAATTATGAAAATACCTCCATTCTCTTTTACCAATAAAGACTCAGGAGGCAGCTGCTGGGGTGCAAACGTGGTAGCTCAGAGACACAGAGAAACCACCCAGCTGACCTTCCTTCTCTGCTGAGGATGAATAGAAAAAACTCAAAAGCTCACTACTATGAAGACAGTCAAGGAGGAAAAACCCAAAAAGCAAGCCCCAAAAGCAAGGGAATTGAGGACCTGAACCCTAATCCAAGACCCCCAATTCAGGGAACTGAGTTGCTGAAGCCTAATCTAATGTCAGAGGTTGAGGTAAAGCCCCTTCTTCTCTAAGCTGTCTTAATATCCCCCCCAAAAAAGTGACTTTTACAACCTAAACCTGTCAACAGGTGTCTTGCTCTGAAAGTTGACTTAAGGTTAGATCCAGCAGACAGAGATCTCTAGAACCTAATTTTATTAGATCGGATATACAGAGAGCTCTTGGATTCAAGGTGTGTGCTAGGGCTAGATAAGCCACACACTTACAAACTGTTTACAAGAACAAAAAGATTTTGGATTAAAGGTGTGTGTTATGATTCAACCAAACAGGAAAGAGAGTTTTGGAATTCAAAATTTTGGGGTTCAAATGGGACCAAATATTGTACAAGAGACTTGACTTCCCCAATTTCTATGCTTTGGCTACTAGCTTAGAGATTCTTCTTCTTCTTTATTAATTAATTAATTAATTTTTTTGTGAAGACAGCCTTTCACTGTGAACCAGATGCCCTGCTCTCCTGGACTCCATGTGTAGACCAGTCTGGCCTCAAACTCACAGAGGTTCAGCTGACTCAGCCTTCTGAGTGCTGGGATTAAAAGCATGGGTGACCACGCCCAGCTGAGAGACCATTGACAAAATAACAGACTGAAAGCATTCTGTAGGTCTCAGGTTGTCTTTCAAAGTTCAGAAGAAGGAAAGATGTCTAACAAGTATGTTCAGTTTTAAATTGGCCAGCCATGGCAGCCCATATCTTTAATCTAGGAGCCAGAACCACGGCAAAGACTGTTGCTTTGAAATACTGAGTTCCAGGATGGCCAGGCCTCTGTCAATAGACCCTGTCTCAAAAAGGGAATTTGAACTAGTTGAGGTCATTGCTTGTACATCCTTGCTTTGATCTATACAATTGGGTCTAACTACACAGCCTTAACTAAATTCAAGAAAGCAGGGCCTTCCTCCTGCCTCAGCCTCCTGAGAGGGGACTTAAGGCTGGTGGCTCAGCTCTTCTGATCCACCCTACACAACCAGGTTGTGATTCAATTACCATGTAGAGCTTTATAAAGAGCCAGTTCTCCACACAATGCTGAGTCTCCAGAAGCCCAGGGAAGAGAACACAGCTCTACCTCCTCACTCCACACTCTCAGCCACCAGGACTCACTGAGCCTCAGTTCCAAGACCCTGTGGAGCAGATCAGACCTCAGGACAGTAATGCAGGTGACTTGGAGTGGTGTGTGTGTGTGTGTGTGTGTGTGTGTGTGTGTGTGTGTCTGTGTTTTTTGGGGGTGGGAGCAGAGGACACCAACTGTCATGACGTGTTGAGGGTGTCTGGTGTGCCTGTCTTTCAGTTCCTCTCAGAAATGTTGTAGCTCAGTCTATGGGGTGTCTCTGGCATGTGTCTCCTCCCTTCCATGGGAACATGACATCAGTCGGTTTCCATTCAGGGAGCCCCATGGAAGGTGTTGTGGACTGTGTTCAGAGCCATGACAACTTGGCAAGACTTGGTTAACTACCATGATCATGAACCTGCCTCCAGGATTCATTTCCACAGGGCTCTCCTCCAGCATTCATGGGAGGCCTTCCGTGCTTCCCATATGGGAAGATTTCCCATAGGTGACAGAGAGGAATCCTTTGTATTCATGATGCTGGCTCCAGCATCCACTCACAGCTAAGAGACCGAGACTCCTCTAGCAGGAAAAGGGCTTTAATATTTTCTTTATTCACTTTTCAACAGACACAAGAAAACCAAGGTGAACATTTGACAAACATCCCCAAGGAATCCCAAGTGGGATGGAGTGAGAAGAATGCAAAACAAAGGCCCTCAGGTATTCAGAGGCAACTCTGAGCAAAAACCCAAAATCCTCTAGCATGCTTCATTTTTTGAGACATCCCGCCTTAGGCAAGATCCCAGATGTGAACACCTCTACCATGTGCCACAAGGACAGACTTGTGGTCGGGGTGAGGGGGTGTCCCTGCTTTCTGTTCTTCTTGCATGAGAGCCAAAGTCTCAGAGCCTGTGTGTACCACCAGGGGAGGGAGGTGGGTAGAATCTAGTTAATGACAGCATTCCCAGGTAGCACTAGTCCTATGTGAGCCCTTTCAGTTCTGCAATACATTTTCTACAACTGAGGACACCCGCAGTTGCAAATGAGTGTCCTCAAGGCTGTGGAGAGCAGGTTAGAGGGTAATCCTGGGCTAGCAAGCAAGTGTTCTGTCGTAAACGGTAATTAATATTTACTATTGGTTTATCTTCTGGTAATGCTGCTGTTAATCCTAAACTGTATAACCAACTCACCACACAGAGACTGGGTTTTTAGTTAACCTAGAACACAATGCTGGGCAATATTGACTCCCTCCTAAACTTTCAAGCCCTCAGTTGCCTAACATTTAGATTTCCCACATTATACTTGCTTTTTGTAATCTTAGGTTTGGTTCATGCTCCACCTCCTCCAAGATCTCTCTCCCAGAACTGTTCTCCTTGCTCTCCCCCTCTCTCTCCTCCCACTCCTTTCCTGCCTTCTGGCTCCTCCCCTCTTTTCTGTCCTCTGGCTCCTCCCTGCTCCACATTGTATCTAGTTGCTTTACTTTGTCTTGTTTACACAAGAGTGAGTTGAGACAGGATGCTTATAAAGAGTATCACAATGAAATATCTGGATTGAAACCAGAGAGTTGGGGATGGGGAAATCAGCATTTGAATTAACAAGGGTAAGGCATATATACATTTTAAAAGAACATTATACCAACAGTGTTCCTAATGTCTTGGTGACTGAATGAGTTGCCTTTGCAATCAGAGTGCAGGAAGCACCCCTCAGTTAAGGTGTATAATTGGGTGGCAGCAAAGTCACTCATCACAGCCCTGTGTCCCTTGCAGGTCCTTCCAGTAGCTCATGGACAGACTCTGAAATCAGGGTCTTCCTGCTGGAGTGGGAAGGAGTTGAACAGCAAGTTGGCCACCCAGGCAAGAAGGTGCACAAGAAGACCAGGGCTCTGTGCCAGCGCCTCTCTCAGTGGGGCCTGAAGAAGAGCTGGACCAGTTGCTTCTACTTGCTGCTGAGCCTGCAGGATCTGCACAGGATTCTTTGTACTGAGAGACCAAGGGTGGAGCCCTTGTTTTCTCCCTATAAGGAGGCCCTGTACAGAATCCTGGGCCCCCGTGTGCAGGAAAGCCCTGTCCCAGGTGAGTCTCTTCTGTGTTCATTCCCCTTTCAAGCCCCAGAGAGGGCAGCCTGAGCTGGCCTGTCCTCCATGAGCATAGAGCAGAGTCCACCCTGTAGGGAATCCCCATTCCCACAGGCTTCCTTGGCAGAGAGCAAAAGCCAAGGTCTGTCTTGTCTGTTGGTGTCCTTTCTACTGTCAGCCCAAGGGAGTGGAAATTGGACATGTTCAGGGTGGACTCAGACCCACGGGACAGACCATGGTCTACCAGGACTCAGGGAGAGTGAGGATGCCATGCTTAGGAGCTCTGTTTCTTCTTCCTCTCAGGTCCTCTCTGTGATGGGTCTGGTGACCCCCATCTCTCCATGTATTGTCAACCTCCCTGGAACCAGCCTTGGGACCATGGTGTCCCTGTTCCTAGTGCAGAGCTTCAAGGGAACCCAGTGCCCATGATGTCCCAGGAGGATTCCCTGTTTTCCAGATGGAAGCCCTGGAACCCCGACTACCGTCTTCCAGCTCCACACCTGCATCCTGCCTCTGTGCCAGGAGAGTCAAGCTTCCAGCAGCCCTGGTCCACTGCAGAATAACAGCACCCAGGCCCTCAATGAAGACTGTGCTCTTTGTTAGATTTTATTTTCTGACAAACCTCAGAGTCCTGCAATAGTGTGGCTCTGTTCACTCTCCTCTACTACCTCATAGGAGAATCAAATGTGAAATGAAATAAATGTCTCTACAGTAACTCTCCTGCCTTGTCTCGGTCGTTTCCATGGGGTCCATGAGTAAGGAAGGGCAGCCAATTGCTCTTTAGAGAGGTTCATTTCCTGGAGTCCTGGGACTTGCCCTCTCCAGTCTGTCTCTGACTTTGACCTGGAGTTTTCTCTCACACCAGGACAACCTCTGTTTTCATAGAAGGGTGCTCATGCCATTTTCAGTCTCTAGTCCTCTTGGTATACAATACTTCCTTCGTATTTCATAGCCTCAAATTTCCAAATGGTAATGGAAACTGGTATGAGGTAGGACATAGCTCGGTACCCTAGGAAGTACAAAGGCCATACTTTATAGAGTACAATACAAACAAAGAAACAAAGAAACAGAGGATGTGTCTTAGGATCAGAAATTGTTTCTTAGGACAGGAAGAAAGGTGAGCAGAGTGGTGCTTTGAGACTCTGACCAAGAGTCTCACACCCTTGACTGTTGAGTCCACAGAAGGTCACACTGTTTCTTCTAGTTTGGGAGCTAGGGTCCTGTTGGAGGAAGTGTGTCACTAAAGTTAAGTGGCTTGATGGTCCCAAGCCACCTGTCATGTCCCAGTTCTCTGCTGTTTTCCTTTGGCTCATGGCTTGAGTTCTCCATCTGCCCTTTATCTGCTCCAGCTTGGATGACTTTTGTTTCTGGTTCCATACTGGTTCTGTATGAGGAACATGAAATTTTGGTTTAAGAGTGGGGAGTCCTCTTATTTCTCTATAGTACCTTGTCAATTAGAACCTATGGAAAGCTGTATTCAGTCACCCAAGGATTAAGGCTTGCTGGGATTCCTAAGAAGCCCTCAGCATGACGAGAAAGAAAAGAAAGATAGAGCTAAATAAATGAATAAATAATAAAGAGAAAAAATTAAGAAAAGGAAATCCTTGAAACCAAAGGTACGAAAAACCTCCAGACAACCCAATAATTGAGCCCAAATCAAACTAAACTAAACTAAACTAAACTAAACAAACAAACAAACAAACAAACAAAGAAATCATCAGGGGTTTCCTGAGACATTGTTGGCCCAGGAAGCATATCCTGATATGGTGCTCTCATGGCAACTCCTTAATGTGGTGCCTTGAAAGCACCTGGGCAGCAATGCCAGACCAGTGAGAACACACCACCAGTACCAGGTCATCCTTCACTGAGGGAGAGCAGGCTAGCCTAGGCTCCCTGCCACCCTGTCTCCAAAAGGAGAAGAAAAGGGACTGAGGCCTCTTGTCTTGGAGGAGTCCACGCACAACTGGTTCCCAGTTGCCTCTCTCTTGTCCTGGGGCTTAAAAACCACATTAAGATCTCCCAATACACTCCAACCCTGATGATCTAGAGGAACCAGTTCACTCTCTACTGCTCCAACAGTGAGACTTGGGTCGTGAGTTCCATCACTCTCCTAATAAAGCTCTCTTGCAATTTGATCAAGGCACCTCCGGGTGGTCTCTGAGGGTCCCGTGAACCTGGCATTACAAAATCAGAAGTGATTGTACCTGGAATGAATGATGTAGATTATCTAAACAATCAAGAAAAATACTATGATGGAATGAATATACAGAACTAGGATGAAATGAGTGATAGCATGGCTCAGGGCACAAACTCGCAGTTGGCAGATCCAGCGTGGCCTCCCACATTGGAGGGGACACAGTTGAACGACTGCATCCATTCCACACACAATGCTTTCCTGCTACTACCTGTCTCCTCCACTGTTTCCCTGCTTTTGTGCCTTTTGGTAAAGATATTGCCAGACTCCTCTTGTTCTAAATAATTATGAAAATACCTCCATTCTCTTTTACCAATAAAGACTCAGGAGGCAG